TCAGATATTGTTTGTTTTGGCTCGTTATGTATTGCCGTCAGCCTCACGATTTTCAAATGCGTTCACTAATGAGAGGCTTTCACACCCTTGCAAGAAATACTTTATTCCCCTCTCCAACCGATGTGGGATATCATAATCTACTCCCTTGGTGCTCGCGTTCTCGCTAGCTTATGAGGTCCCACGTCGGTTGGAGAGGAGAACAAAACATTCTTTATAAGGGTGTGGAGACGACGATGCGTACCAAATTAAAATGGACAATATCTGCTAGCAATGAGCTTAAGTCCTCAAATGGGGTGAATTGTGAGATCTCACATCAGTCAGTTGAAGAGAGGAACGAAACATTCCTTATAAGGATGTGGAGACAGCAATACGTAACGGTCTAAAGTGGACAATATCTGCTAGCAGTAGACTTGAAACAACCTTAGATGTAAGATGAAGACCGAAAGCAATTAAAGTGGAAGTCAAAGTCCCAAGGTGACGTATGTGAGAGGTAAGACCCAGATGTACGGTGAAGGCCTGAGGTGACTCAAGCTCGAAGCTAGTTCTGGGTCAACTAAGGCAAATTAATCAAGCTCTATCGATTCTACAATTATTTTCATTCACTCGTATGAGGACCCCGATCACGAATTTGTATTAGAGTGCGAACAAAACGGCATTCATTGGGAGAAAAATTATATATTTTGTGTCTCACTTTACATAAACCAAAAATGAACTACTTTATATAATTAATGATGCATATGGTTTGATTAAGGTCGAAAGTATTGTCGAACAACATAATGAGAAAAAGAGGGTCAGACGAGACTGATTATTGAACCAGCTTTTGCACAAACAGCCCACAGAAGGTGTCACAGACGACAGCATGCGCCACATATTTGCTCACAAATAGACAAAAACATGTACCTACGCCTACAACCTCGCACTTCAATTTAAGGTTTAATGTTGCTTATAATACCACAATTATTGAAACCTGTCCTTCCAAACAATATCTCTAAACCCTTTTAAGTGTACTTAAGAACCCTAGCTAGATCATTAATTACTAGGTTTTAGGCACTAAAGAGCATTAAGGGAGAAGGCATGCATTGATTTGATTTGATTTCTTTTAAAAAAACATTCCATTTGCAGTGGAAAAGTACAGTGATTAACATTATTGTCCCCGATTCATATATGTTTGTATAGTTTGTCTCATTATGTCGGCACTTTGGGATGGGGTAAATGTAATATACATCATCCTAAAAGCCTTTGGACTCTCTCTACTAAAGTTTATGCCTTTATGCCTTTTACCTTCCCATTTCAAAACCCTCCTCTCTTTCTTTATATGTATATGCTTAAATGGTGAAGGGTTTTGAATTTTATGGACCCATTTCAAAGGAATTAGAAACAAACCAAATGATGCCACCATGTTCCGGATATACGTTTCCAAGTTCATTCAACGCCTTTGGTAAGAGTTTAAGTCCACCGTTAGTAGATATTGTCCATTTTAGCCCGTTATGTATCGTCATCAACCTCACGGTTTTGAAATAAGTTTACTAAGGAGAGGTTTGCATAGCCTTATAAAGAATGTTTCGTTGCTCTCTCCAACTGATGTGGGATCTCACAATCCACCTTTTCTTGGGAGCCTAGCGTCCTTACTAACGTCTACTAGAGAGAGGTTTTCATACTCATATAAAGAATGCTTCGCTCCTTTCTCAAATCAACGTGCGATCTCACAATCCACTCCCATTGGGAGCCCAACGTCCTTGTTGGTGTCTACTAGAGAAAGGTTTCCATACCCTTATAAGGAATGTTTCGTTCCCCTCCTGAGTCAACATGGGATCTCACAATCCACCCCTTTGGTGGGTCAGCATCCTCGCTAGCACACAACCTAGTGTCTGGCTCTGATAACATTTGTAACAGCCTAAGCTCACCGCTAGTAGATATTGTCTGCTTTCGCCCGTTAAGTATCGCTGTTAGTCTCATAGTTTTAAAACGCGTATACTAAAGAGAGGTTTCTATATCTTTATAAAGAATGTTTCGTTCTCCTCTCCAACTCACGTGGAATCTTAAGTTGATTGATTTTATTAAATTAACAAGAGTAATGGGTGGGGAACCAAGTTGATAAGGTCAAATATAATGATTTGTTTTGCTTAGGACTTCGTGTTGGTTTTTGAATTTGATCACTTTGTTAGATATGAATACAAAACTTGTGATGATGGTGGGTGCAAAAAAGAAGGCCCTTTTTTTAGCTCATTATGGGGTTCACATAGTTGGAAGATTCCTTCCCACAACAAGAGTGCAAACACAAAGATATAAAATACAATATATTATGATATATGTGAAGTGGGTTTCATCTTAAAAGCCTCAAAAACAAACTCAATTCAATCATACGCCTTGGAGACCATTCAAAACCCTCATTGCCTTTCTTCACCATTTCACTTCCTTTCCTTCCATCTTCTCTCTTCTTTGTTCACTAGCAGTGTAATATGTGTTATTAAGCACACCTAAATAAAGTGCTCTATATGACATTAACAAACGAAGCTATTTGATCGAGCATAACATATTGAAGCCTAATCGGAGGCGATAATAATGATATCCCAACAAGGCTTTTATGCATGTGGTTGAAAGGTTGATCCTTTCTTTCGAGTCAAAGTTGTCATAAGATATAGTTGCAAGGATATTGAATGTGGTTTTAGAGAATCTCCAAGGGAAAGAATGATCTTTAAGATGAACAAAACTTTGAGATCTCATATCGGTTGGAGAGAAAAATGAAACATTCTTTACAAGAGTGTGGAAACCTCTCTCTAGCATACGTGTTTTTAAAACATTGAGGGGAAGGCCGAAAGGAAAAGTTCAAAGAACATAATATCTACTAGCGGTGGGTCTGGACTATTACAAATGGTATCAAACCCAGATTCCGAGCAGTGTGCCAACGAGGACGTTGGGCCTCAAATGGGGGTGGATTGTGAGATCTCATATTGACTGAAGAGGGGAACGAGTGCCAGTGAGAACGTTGGGCTCCGAAGGGAGGTGGATTGTGAGATCTCATATTGACTGGAGAGGAGAACGAGTGACAGCGAGGACGTTGGGCCCTGAAGGGAGGTGGATTGTGAGAGATATCACATCGGTTGGAGAGGGAAACAAAACATTCTTTATATACGTTCTTTTCGGCATTTCTTAATCATCTTATCATCAGCATCAACTCTAGTGCATTTAGTTTGATTTCTACTTCAAATATTAGTAATGTATCTGAAAAATTAGCAAGGATAGTTCATTACTTTGAAACAGTAGTAACCAAGTAGCTAAAGATCATGCATGTTGATCAAAAGTTTCCTGGTTTGGTTCTCTTGTTGTTTCTTACAACATATAGCGCTTTAGGATTGAATAGTACTTGTTCATTCTCTCACTTTTTGACTAAAGCAGCCCAGCAGGATGGAGCTACAGTGTTGTTGTAGGCTAGCTAGGCCTGCACTAATATTATGTATACTCACCTGGCCCTTTTCTTTATCATTATATCTCTTTTGAATCCTTTTCTCTTCAACCAACTGACACTATTCATTGCCATGAGTTGCAGGGATCAAAGAGATCATATAGTATATCCTCTTCTCCATCATCCTCTTTCTCAACATAGTATATCTCTTAATAGATATTGTTCTCGGCTTTCTCTTTTGAGTTTTCCCTTTAAGGTTTTTAAAGAGGTTTTTCACACCCTTACAAGGAATGTTTCATTCTCCTCCCCAATTGATGTGAGATCTCACAATCCACCTCTTTTGGAGCCCAACGTCCTCACTGACACTCTTTCCTTTCTCCTATCGATGTGGGACCCCCAATCCACCCCCTTTTGGGGCTCAACGTCCTTGCTGGCATACTACCTCATGTCCGCCCCCTTTTGGACTCAGCCTCCTTACTGACACATCGCTTGGTGTCTAGCTCTGATACCATTTGTAACAGCTCAAGCCTATCGCTAGCAAATATTATCCTCTTTGAGCTTTCTCTTAAGGTTTTTAAAACGTTTCTACACTCCAATCCAACCGAAGTTGGATCTCACAAAAACCCTCGAGAGAACAGTCTATTCAGTTTTAATGGAAGAGGACAGTCTATTGAGTTGAAGAAGATGACATGAATGACCATGGTGATGGTGGGAAGTGGGTGGGTGAGAGAATTGAGTGACCCACATCAGAGAGAATAGCTTTAGAGCCAAGAAGGGCTATCAAACTTCTCTTCAGCTTCAGTCCAGCTCCATTGATTATGTCATGACAGGACAGGGCCTTAGAATGGGAGGAAACTGAACTGAAAGAGACTTGTTGTTACAAAATTGAAAAGGAATAGAGAGTGCATATCAGAAAAAGAAGTGCTGTGAAATCTTTGTTTTATCATGAACTTACAGGCCAAATGCTTAGTGTGTCAGCAAACGACTGGTCAGAGAGATTAGAAGGTTAGAGAGATTGATAGGCATGAAAAGAAGTTATACGAAAGAAGGGCTTCATCTTTGACATTAATTTGGGAAGAGTGCAGAATAAACGAGGCAAATGGCCTTCCCTGTCCTCCATTTCCATGCCAAGATGCTCCCACCACAATTCTGTCTTTAAATGAATATCAGTTGAATCTTGAACCCGGGAAATCAGAGATAAAAGTAGAGAGGTAAAGTTTTGCCTTTTTGACTACTCTTATGACCTTACGCTCCATGACAACAAACAACCGAATAAGTGTAACAGCTCAAGTCTACCGCTAGTAGATTGTTAGTGAGAGGAACGAAACGTTCTTTACAAGGGTGTGGAAATCTCTCCCTAGTAGACGCGTTTCAAAAACCTTGAGGGGAAGCCTGAAAGGAAAAGTCCAAAGAGGACATTGAGTCCTAAATGGGAGTGGACGCCAGGAGATGTGTCAACAAGGACGCTTAACCCCGAATGGGGGTGGATTGTGAGATCCGACATTAGTTGGAGAGGGGAACGAAGCATTCTTCACAAGGGTGTGAAAACTTCTCCCTAGCAAACGCATTTTAAAAACCTTGAAGGTAAGTCCGAAAGGAAAAGTCTAAAGAGGAAAATATCTACTCACGATGGGCTTGGACGGTTAGAATAAGATAAGATAGTGAGATTATAGGGATCAAAGTTCTAATCTTTTCTCCTTACCGGAAAAGCATGATAAGGACAAATAATCAAACTCTAAGTCTTGAAGGCATAGCCGTTCGAGAAGATTTATGGGTAAGAACCGGAACCAAAACCTCCCATATCGGTTACGAGATGTTTCGTAATATTGTACCAAGATTTGTCTTCTTAATGTTAGTTATATAAAAGAACATAACTGATTCCACAAAGGATAAGGAGAGAGGCATTAGGGGCAATATGCTTCGCTCATTTAGTTCATGGTTATTTTGGTTGTTTCTGAAACCTAACTTACAGGAAAATTTGATCTATTCTAATGGTCATGTTCCTACGTTCTGACTAAGCGTTTCAAACAAAAGACCAGTTCATAAACATAAAGCAAATACAGTGAGCGTTTTCTTCTTCATTCAAAACCTTCCATGCCACAGCTTTCTCGTAGGATATTGCCCTTCCCATGCTTGACAAGCAGATACCCCCTTGAAGACAAATGAAGCCCTGACAAAAAGAACATAGATCATTCAAAGACTATGATTTGATACACTTAAAGAGCTTCTATTCATTTGGTCATCATTGGGTTGGTAGGGAAAGAAGGGGTTCGTTTGCTATACCTGCTGCATTATCCGTGGGAACTCTGAGGCTAAAGTTTTCTTTCCATTATCATCAAAAATCTTCTCCAAAGTAATGTCTTGGAGAGCCACCAAGGTCGTCTCGAGCATGTCGAGTCCAGATTGATTGGCGAATGTGAAATTTGGCAAGGCCTGCATGTTCATAATAGGATATAACTTCATGTACAAACAAATTGCAATATTCAAAGAAAGAGAATTTAAAACATACCTGCAAAGAGCAGCACATGACTGCATCTGAGTGATGCCAAAGGGATTTGAGAACGGATTCTCGTCCTTCATTTTTCAGTAATTCCATGCCCATAAAGCACCTGTACGGGTCGATAAAATTAGACTGGAACACCGTCGATATTCAGATATTATCGCGTTCTATCAATTCGGATGAATTTTGTAGTTCAAGGAGCTTGTAATTAGGAAAGCAATATTTGAATACCTATAGCTTTGAGAGATCCAAAGAGCAAGTGTTTGTGCTTCAGGAGCACCAGCCGGTGTCTGAAGGTTAGCATGAGGACCGAAATTCGAAGGCGATAGAGCCAGCGCCACCCTCTGAACAGACGCTATAATGCTCCGGACATACTGCCGTGCCATTGCTGCTACATTATCTTGAAGGTGCACATCAAATACAAATTGGAATGCAATTGTCATCACAGATTTTGATTTTCCTGATTGACCAGCACAGTCTCCAGAAGCTCTATTCCCAGCAGGTCCAACGTCAAGAGCCGAAGCAAGATCAAGCGTGCGGTATGGACTTGAAGCATCCTGCAGCATTAGCAAATGTACAAATTTGATATCAAAATTAATACAATTGAAAAGAATAGGAGAAAAAAAAGGAGATTTAATATACGTGTTTACCATGCCAGAATCGAGAGGAATGATGCGGAAGCCAGATGGTAGAATTGGTGCATCATCGGAAAAAGAGGCGTCAATCGGAGCAAAGATGAGTTCAGCAGAAGTACCAACCGTATTCTCGTCCACACCGTTGCAAAGCTGGGAGCAGAGCATCATAAGTATCCATCCAAGCTTTATAATATGGGAGGTTCTAGCTTAAAGAAAATACTACTTACTTGGAGGAGGAAGATGTCACCAGGCATGAGTTTATCGTCGCTGTAGTGGCTCACGTTTTCAAATTTAACAACTTCCATAAACTGTTTCCAGAAAGAAAATTTAAATCAATATTTTAAAATCACAAAGCAAAGTAGGCCAATAGGTTATCTTATTGTAACCGCTCAAACCCACAGCTAGCAGATATTGTCCTCTTTGGGCTTTCCCTTTCGAGCTTCCCCTCAAGGTTTTTAAAACGCATCTACTAAGGAGAGGTTTCCACACCCATATAAGGAATGTTTCGTTCTCCTCTCGAACCGATGGGGCTACACACTAATCCACAAAATCGTTCTGTTTAAACGGTAGAATAAACGGTACTTGCCTCTTCGTGCTCAACTGTTTGTGCCAAGGGAAGAATAATCTGACCCCCAAAAGTTCCAGCATGAGACCCTGGTAAACCACACTGGCCGGTCTTAATTGCTGCAGCTGAGTAGGCATCAATACTGCTGTCGGCCCATTCTGAACGGTGTTCTCTCAAGAACCTAATGAGCATTGCTGGAGTGACATTCTACAAAATAAAAACAATAGAACGTTTTCAATTCCTGATCACGATCTAGATGTCAGCTCGCAAGCAAAATACTTACCTGTAATAACATCGATGCTTTTGCACAAAGCACGGCGTTGCTCATAGATGGAAAGCCATTAGAATATGACATATTTGCACCCATCATTGTCTTGCCATGAGACATGTTTACAAGAAGTGTAACATCATCAATGCCATCATTTTCTAACAAAGACCATCCCTCGTCTGTAAACCCGTTTACCGCTTCGTTGAAACCTCTGCACAGAAGAATCCATTAAACACAATTTAAACGAAGAAGAAGAAGCTAAGACAGGTACACTCGAGCCATAATCATATTTACCTGCTCAATTTCTGACTAAGAGAACGAAGAGCAGCAGGCCTTCTTCCCCAACCAGTAACATTTGGTTGAGAAACTTCTTGTGAAATCTGTCTCAACAAGCGTAATGCCTGATCCAAAATAACGAAAATTTATCGGTATGTTGAGGAAATAATCTTCTAAGTTACTTGAACTTTCAATTTCCAATTTTAAAGGACTTACTGCCATTGTGTTCTTCTGAGCAAGCAGAGTAGATGACTTGTATAATGGCCGCAACACTTCAGGCACGCTCCATGGCTATGTTCAAGTAAACAATGGGTTAATTTATAAATATGAATATCAGAAGCTAAGAATGAGTGTGCTCTAAATACAGAGAAGTTTTACATACTTCTAAGTCCATGTGATCAACCATATGGATTATTGATCCACCACCCTCACAAGGTCTTATCAAATACCCACTTGATAGCATTTCTGCTCTTACAAAGTTTTGTACTGGAGGCATACTTGGACCATTCTGAGTATTGTTAAGAGATCTTTCACAGACCTAAAATGCATAATACAAGCATGTTAGCTCCTCCAAAACAGCACAAGCAACCAGCAATTTCCAATGCGAGGTATTCACATACCACAAGACTGCCATCCTCCAAAACCGATGTGTAGCGCAGCAGCCAGAAATCACGAGCAGGTGCCAAAGTAGTAGGTGCATAGAGCTGAATCAAATAAACACATGCTTCATTTATTTTTTCTTGCAAAGTCTGTAAAATTGATACAAAAAATGTACCATCTAGTAGCAGCCAACCTGCATGTACAGAAGCTCAATGGTTCCTCCATTTCCAGTAGATAGGACGTTTAGAACATCAACGGCACGGCAATCGCGAAACCAAGAAGGCCAATCTTTAAGAATTTCAGCCACCTTCACAAAACAATATAAGTCATATATACTCAACTTCATGCTACATTGCACAAATAGTTAAGTTTATTATGTTTAGAAGCACTTACTCTTGTGGGTTCAAGACCCACAAGTCCACATGCACGAGCAGCAACTCCAGTGCAACCATGAGAAATAGCAACGATTCCAATGGAATCCGGACCAGGCTGCTCACAACAGATGTTTAGAAAGGTCAGAAATTTTATGTTCCTTGTCCTGTTCATATCATTTTTAAAACAACGCATGATCTTTGCTGAGCAGTGGTATTAAATTTACAACCGCATTACACAAATGTAATAAACCTTGCTGTTTTGGCCTCCTTGAGAAGCGAGAGTAAAGATGAGATGTGACATTTGGCAGAGGAAAGTATGAGACAACAGAGCATTATTTTCAAAAGGTTTGACATGTTGCTTAAAAGATTAGCAAAGTTTCTGTGGCTTAATTTGTTAATACAGATTGAAGCATAAAGCAAAAAAGAGGAAGTAACCTTCATCCCAGGCATTTGGACCCACTCCACAGCAGTTCCAGTAGCCTTTGAAAGAAACTCTGCTAAAGTCTCCTCCGCAATGGACAACAGTCTGCATAACGGAAAGCACAATTTGTAACACCAGGACAAGAAGAACGGCATGCATCAATGCACAAGAAGAAGAAGAAGAACAGCCAATTCTACTAACCCTGCGGGACTGGCATCCTTTGGTGGATGCGGCGGAGTCAAATTCTGCTGACCACTTGTCACCACAGACTCACAACTTGTGTCAGTGGTGGCTAGGGTCGCCTGCAGGATGGACAAATTATATGAACAATCGTTGTCTTACCCACTAACAAGAAATTTCCATTGATCATGTTCTTCAAATCAGCAAGTATTTTAAATTCGTGGAGGAAAGCTCTTACATTCTGGGTCTGTTGACGAAAATAGCTGTTCTCATACACAAGCTGTGACACTTGTTTCTGCAACCTATCATTTTCCTCCATTAGAAGTCGATTCATAGCCGTCAGCTTCCTGTTCACAGTCTGCAAACGGGATGCCTCCTTCCTCTGCTTCTCTCTACATCTGTACAATTGAAAACATTGGGTGTTCGATTTTCAAAAGTGGAACCCATTTGAAACCCAGAACGGAAACAATTAGAAAGAAGAAAATACCTCCGGTTTTGGAACCAAACTTTGATCTGCTTGGGTTCGATGTCGGAGAGAATTGGGCACTCCCGAATGAGCTGCTGGCGGCGCATTGAACTGGGTTTTGGGCATTCATAATAGAGCCTCTCAAGAGCTTCGACTTGCTCAGGTGTGTACCGAACATACTTCCCATTATCCAAGCTGCTGATCTTGGTAGCAGAATCCTTGCAGGCGGAAGTGACAGCCATCATCCCCACTTGAAATTCCCTCAGAGACAAAACAACAAACACCTTGCAGAGTATGAAAAAGAGACCCTTCTGGCTTCCGTTCCCTCCAAGTCATATAAGACACGGTTTGGGCATACTGGTGGAAAGACCCCGAAATGGAAGCTTCTTAAAGAACAGGGACAGGATTGAAGGGGATTTGAGTTGTTTGTGGTAGTGTTGGAATGGGAAATGAAGAAGAAGGAAGAGAAGAGAAATGAAGATATAAAAGGGAAGGGTTTGATTGTGAAGAAAGATTGGATGAGGAGGGAAACAAAAATCCCAACGGAAAAGACACATACAGAGACAGGTATGGGAACAATTTCCACACTTGGGTCTCACTGTTCTCGTATCCTTACCATAAATGCTTCGTTCTCACGATTTTAAAACGCGTATACTAGACAAATAATTTCTTTAAAAAAAAAAATAATAATATGATGTTGAAAATCAACCATCCAAAAGTTTTTTAACTTTTAAAGATACAAAAAAAATTGTGATAGAATAATTCATTACTATATATATATATTCATTATTTTTTTTAATTCAAAATATTTAAGTTATGATATATATTTTATCCATAGTGAAATTGAGTATTTGGTATGAACTTTAAAACATTTGATTTCATAACCCAACAATGAAGCGTTGAATTTTGATGGTAAAAACATGTCACTTATTATTATGTATTTATACATATTAAAATTAATAATTATGAGATGAATTCACCTAACTTTTGTTGAATTAACCCTAATTATAAATGCAACACAGCCACCCCCTTGATTGTTGGGTCATTAACCAAATAATAATGGCAGACCAAACCAAATGCTGCTTTTCTATTATTATTATTATTTTACTTCAAATTAAAAACCAAAACAAAACAAAAAATTACTTTTGTAATTGCGTATCCTAATCTCACCGTAAACGCAGGGCTCTAAGTTTATTTATTTATTTATTTAAATTATTTCTGTATGAATATAAAAAATTGTGGGCCCCACCACTTTCCAACTATTTTTTTTTTTTTTTTCAATTTTTTTTTATAAAAAAATTCTTACTTGCTTTACCTATTTATATATTTATTATTTTCCAAATCAAAAGAGGGCAACTTGATCTGTGGTTATTATTTTAAAATAAACTTACGCAAAAGCTATCTAGTTGTCCTTCTAACTTCTAAATAAATAAAATATATATTAAATTAATGTTATTATAATTTCGTCTTTTGAATAAATTATATGCAAATTACAATTTTCAACAATTAAAGAAAGGGAGAAAATGCAAAATAAGAATAAAAAAAAAAAAAAAAAAAAAA